GTTGTTGTTGCATCACACCTTGGGTAACGGAGACTTTACCGTTTACAGAAAGATGTCTGCTCACTTACTGAATGTCAACGTGATGTTAAAAGACATCACCACCGCTCCGTCTGAAATTGACAGATGTATCAGAGAGGCCTACATCCACCAAAGACCTGTTTACATAGGCTTGCCAACCAACTTGGTGGACATAGAAGTCCCACGTTCGTTGTTAGACACCGAAATTGACTTGACCCTTCCAGAAACTAATGCTGCCGCCGAAGAAGAGGTGGTTTCCAGAGTCTTGGACTTGATCAAAGGTGCCGATAATCCAATTATCATCGTGGATGCTTGCTGTGCCAGACACGGCTGCCGCGGTGAAGCGCAAAAATTGATCGAATTGACCCAATTCCCAACCTTCACCACTCCTATGGGGAAAGGTGCAGTTAACGAAAGTCACCCAAGATTTGGCGGTGTCTATCTCGGGGACTTGTCGTCTCCCGACGTCAAGGAATTTGTTAACAACAAGGCCGATTTGATCATCTCGCTTGGCGCGGTCTTGTCTGATTTCAACACCGGTGCGTTTACACACCGTTTTTCCACAAACGATCTCATTGAGGTCCACAGTGACTACACCAAGATCAGGAACGCCACCTACGAGAGAATCCAGATGAAGCATGTGTTGAACACGTTGTTAGGAAAAATCGGTAGCGCTATCAAGGACTACAAGCCGGTCGAGTTACACTTTCCCAGTTTGAAACAGAAGATACCTTCTGCTAGCGGGACAGGGAAAGTGTCCCAGGAGTACTTGTGGAAGGCTGTCGCAAAATTTTTCCGCGAGGATGATATCGTTATTACCGAAACCGGCACTTCATCCTTCGGGATTGTGCAATCAAAGTTCCCTAATGAAACATTGGGAATCTCCCAGGTTTTGTGGGGGTCCATTGGCTACACTGTTGGTGCCACTTTAGGGGCTTTGATGGCGGCTGAAGAATCTAAAAAGCCATCCCGCAGAGTGATTCTCTTTATCGGCGATGGTTCCTTGCAGCTCACCGTCCAAGAGATCTCCACCATGTGTAAATGGAACTTGAAACCATACTTGTTTGTTTTGAACAACAACGGATACACGATCGAAAGATTAATCCACGGCGAGAAGGCCTCGTACAATGATGTCCAACCATGGAAACACTTGAAGCTCTTGGATCTCTTTAACGCCCAAGACTACGAAAACATCACCGTCAATACGGACAAAGAGTTAGACGAGCTCTTTACGGACCAGAAGTTTGCCAAGAACGACAAGATCCGTATGATTGAGCTTCACTTGGAAGAAATGGATGCGCCAATCAGTTTGATCGAGCAGGCCAACAAAACCTCCCAGACCAACGCCTCATAAGCGCCAATGTTTTTATATAGGTTTTTTTTTAAAGCAATACACGTTACTAAGGATAAGTTTGCACCCCCAAAAGCCCCAAACATGATGAGACGTTGTTGTTCTTTATATTCGGATATTTCCCCGCACATAAGTCAAATTGTTAGGACCCTAAGTGCCTAATCTATATCATGTATGCACCTCACGTTTCTCGCTAATTTTATCTGGCTCTTTCTCATGAATTATCATGCATCCTTTGGTTGCTATTGATTCCTGCATCGGGGTTTACCTTCAGTGTCATGTATGAATTTCCCGGCCCAAGCGTGAGGACTATCGCAAACAGATATTTCTCAGTCGTATCTACTTCTACCATCAGTTTCATAATAATCTTATACCCCCCATTGCGGCATACCACGAATGGAAGGTAGTAGATGAGAACCTTTTATGGGATTATTGTTTCGTACTTCCAACGGAAATGTAGGACAAACTTCTCAACCAATAACATTTTATTCAAACCTGATACTATATCCTCATTAATATTAGATACGAGAAGAAATTAAATCATTCACAAACTGGCGCCATACAAATCTACAAGTTTTCGGAGATAGCCTGTCATACCGCTGGCACGAGACATGGCATTAAGTCAAACTGGCACATTGATATATACTGGATATATCGAATGCAGCTGAGGGTAAGATTCTTCGAAATTAAATTTCGGAGTCTCTGGTGTCGGACTCCGAGCCTCCGAATAGGAGTAGACTTCTCCGGGATAATCGCTTGGATGCTGTCGATACAGTGCTCCTGTAAAGAACTGACGCACTCTTACAACGACACATCGATTGATGCACTGCATGGTCCAGAAAGTCATCCGATAACCGCCATTTATCCTTTTCTTAGGGTGGCGTTCACTGACAGAAAATCACTCACTCTGGGTCAAAAAAATATGGTGCCATTCTTACCGATCGGAGAATTGTATGCCGCCTGTGCCATCGGATTAACTGCTGAGTCTGTTATCGCTGCGCATAGCCATTTGGCTCATCTTTGGGTAATATATGCTCCCTACGGTCCTTTCCTTGATATATCTGAAGTAATTCTGGCTTTAAATCCGGCAAACCACAACTTGAATCTTAAAATTATTCCTAGGAAGTGAAATTTTGGGCCTAGACGCTTTCCTGGTTCTTTCTAGGACAACCGTTCGAGCCGGCGGAAGTCTCTCCGCGACCACGCGACGTGCATTGTGCATCCAGCAAGTCTCCTGCGATCCCTAATACTCCCGGCCTTGGGAACACAATTGCTGTTTCATTAGTTTCAAAAAGACAGGAAAACTATATAAACCCCTCAGCTCCTTCGTATATTTTTTTACCATTTTTTAAGCACCTTTACACCAATAATTGTCTACCCACCAAACAAACCGCCCTTCTATCATATAGCCCACACCATGTCTATCACTCTCGGCCAATATCTCTTCGAAAGAATGAACCAGCTCCACGTTAAAACAATCTTTGGGGTGCCTGGTGACTTCAATTTGCTGCTTTTGGATTATATATCCGAGGTTCCGGGCATGAGATGGGCCGGGAACGCCAACGAACTCAATGCCGCCTACGCCGCTGACGGCTATTCCCGTGTGGCTCGATTGGGCTGTATTGTCACCACATTCGGTGTCGGCGAATTGTCCGCGTTGAATGGGATTGCCGGTGCCTATGCAGAACAGGTTGGTCTCGTACATGTTGTTGGGGTGCCGGCCATGTCGTCTCAAAACAATAAGTTGTTGTTGCATCACACCTTGGGTAACGGAGACTTTACCGTTTACAGAAAGATGTCTGCTCACTTACTGAATGTCAACGTGATGTTAAAAGACA